CTGGCCCTCCCCCCCCACCTCCTCCAAAGATTGGTGTTCCTCCTCCTCGGCCACCTCAATCGATGCCTATTGGTTCAAAGGTAGCTCGACCTCCACCTCTTGCACCAAAACATCCATCAAATGCTGCTTCTGGTGAGGTAGGTGGATCTGATGCTGAAGGTGATGCTGCTAAAACCAAGCTGAAGCCATTTTTTTGGGATAAGGTTCTAGCAAACCCTGATCATTCAATGGTTTGGCATCAGATTAAATCAGGATCTTTCCAGTAAGTTGCACTTTTCTTCCTTTTCTTCTTTGTGATCCATGAATCATTAGAAATTATAAGCCTCTGAATAGTAATACAATGATGATTCTTATACAGGTTCGATGAAAATATGATTGAAACTCTGTTTGGGTATAACGCTGCTGAGAAAAACAAAAATGAACGCAAGAAAGAATCTACATTCCAAGATCCTTCGCCCCATTTCATTCAAATTATTAATCCCAAAAAGGCACAAAATCTATCAATTCTTTTGCGGGCACTGAATGTCACCGTAGAAGAAGTCTGTGATGCAATTCGTGAAGGTAACTTATCTCCTTCTTTCTATCCATGGCATTGAAAAGATGCAAGTATTTTTCCTTTCCTCTTTTTTCAGTGTGTCAAAATGGAAATGTATTAGAAAAAGGGATATATGGTGTACTTTCTTTATGTTTCTAGAAGGAAACTTGCATTTAGTCCTTTTATGAAGTTTGAGGACTTAGGGAAGTTCAAGTTGTAGATGCACCTAGTGCTTGTGCTTAGGATTTTTATAACCAATGTCCCTACCAACAATCAAATTGGACTCTGAACTGTCAATTGCATCAATGTGCCTCCCAAACTCAGGTACTGTGCATCAATGTATCCCCTGATTTCTGATCCATTGGTTTTTCTGTTGAAAGTGGCATACTTTCAAGGTAGAATGGTGCATTAGACCATAAATTATAGATTAAAAAGCATTTTCTCTCTCCTCCTCTGTCACCCTTTTTCTCTCTTCTCTTTGTCCTTCTGCGCTCACACACAATCAACAAGTATTCTAATATACTAAACGCAACAATAAAACTGAATGAAGTTAATCACGTTATCAAAATACTGCAGAAACTAGATAAACTACCGAACCACTAAAACTCAAAAGTACTGTGTTGAAACCCATAAGTGAAAAATACCCCTAAAATTTAGTCATCTGCTTTCCATGTGATCAATTTGGACAGAAGCTGAAGAATCAGATGTTGGTGCCTCATTGGTGCATGGTACCAGAGTTTGAGGGTTGCATTGATGCAATTGAAAGTTCAGGGACCACTTTGATTATGGGGCAATATGTCAGGGGTATTGGTGATTTAAAAAAAAGAAGCCTTGTAATTGTTCTAAACTTCTAATTAAACTCTATGTTTCTAAAAAAACCTAGTAATTACTTTGGAACTTTTTCAGAAAATTCTTGAGCGAACATCTTGTCTGAGTAATAGAATAATGTATAAAGAAAGCTAAAATAAAAGATCATCCAGTGCATGTGTTTTTTTTTCCCTTGCATGAGAAGCATATTTTAATCTTTCTTAGTTGAATCAGGAAATGAGCTTCCCTCAGAATTCCTACAAACTTTGCTGAAGATGGCACCAACACAAGAAGAAGAACTAAAGCTTAGACTGTTCAATGGTCAACGTTCTCAACTTGGGCCTGCTGAGCGGTTCCTAAAAGCCTTGATTGAGATTCCATTTGCTTTTAAGCGATTGGAAGCATTACTTTTTATGTGCACTCTTCAGGAGGAGGTCACCACCCTTAAGGAGTCCTTCGCAACCTTAGAGGTAAAGACTGAGTTTCTGAATTGCATGCCATATATGATTTTGAGTCTCATACTCTTCTACCCAGTTTTCTGGGTATCTCAGGTTAACTTCTATTAGTTCAGCAGATATTGAAAAGACCAATGTAGTGACCTGAATTATGCTTATACAACTATTATAAATATATAACTTGGTGCATATATATGCTAAGCTAGCATCCAATGCTGATATCCTACGCAAGACAGTGCTTTTCAGCTGTGTAAATCATCATCAGATGATGAAGAATACACAACGCTGGTTCACAAACATGAACCGATAAAGAGCCAAATGCCAATGCACAAAGGGAAAATGTACAGTTGAAATAACATGAATAGAGTTTGATGCAACAAGGAAAAAATGATGCCATGATGGCAAAGTACAATATGGGGAGTGGTTGCCACTATCCACCTATGTTAAGAACTTCCCAGAGTGGCAGCCCATGGTCAGTTTCATTTCTGGCGGCATTTGGACTCCAATTCTTGCATTTTCATCTATCTACAAGCCTTTAATGATAAATGTCCCATGACTTCTACTCCAACTCTTAGCTGGAATAGTTTAAGAGATTGAAAATTTCGACAAATATTTTGTTCATTATGCTTAGTTTTCAAGTTTTCATCACTTTTTGCAATGACTAGTTTCTTCAAATTTCAATTTTCTAATATTGCTACTGAGATTCACATGTGGAAGCAGAGGATAATAGCATAACAAAACTCTCTATTAGATACCTTAAGCTTAGTCTTATCAGGAAAGATGAAGGCTTGTCTGGCCTAGACCATACTGTCCTGTATGGGCCATGAAATATGGTACCTATCTGCCTATAGGGGAGACTCATGGACATAATGTGTCATGAAGAAATATACGAATGTACTTGTACAGCATATATAAAAATGTCTGCCAGTTTTCATTCAAATGGCACAGCTTCATGTTGTTGTAACCTATCATTTTGTTTCTGTGCATGACGTTGTCTGCCGGTAACTTCTGGTCCATATCTTGAAACATTGCACTCAAGAATATCTAAATCATATCCATGTCTATGGCAGGTTGCTTGTAAGGAACTAAGAAGCAGCCGGCTTTTCCTCAAGCTTTTAGAAGCTGTTCTTAAAACTGGCAATCGCATGAATGATGGAACATTTCGTGGTGGTGCACAAGCATTCAAACTTGACACGCTCTTGAAATTATCTGATGTAAAAGGAATAGATGGCAAGACAACCCTTTTGCACTTTGTTGTTCAGGAAATAATCCGCTCTGAGGGTGTCAGAGCTGCTCGTGCAGCAAAAGAGAGCAGGAGTTTCTCTAGCATCAAATCAGATGATCTCCTTGAGGAAACTTCCCAGGAAACCGAAGAGCACTTTCGCAGTCTTGGTCTTCAGAAAGTTTCAGGTTTAAGCAATGAACTTGAGAATGTCAAAAAAGCGTCCGTTTTGGATGCTGAAAACTTAACAGGAACTGTTACTAAACTTGGTCATGCACTCGTAAAAACCAGAGACTTCCTGAACTCAGACATGAAAAATTCAGGGGAAGATAGTGAGTTCCATGAAACACTGAAGAGTTTTGTACAGAATGCTGAGGTTGATATCACAGGTCTCCTCGAGGAAGAAAAGAGAATCATGGCTCTGGTGAAGAGCACTGGTGATTACTTCCATGGGAAAGCAGGGAAGGATGAGGGTTTAAGATTGTTTGTTATTGTTCGGGATTTTTTACTAATCATAGATAAGGCATGCAGAGAGGTAAGATTGGCACCGAAAAAGTCAACAAATGTTCAAAAAAAGGAAGCACCTTCCTCTGATCTCCGTCAGCCTCCTACAACACCATCTGCCTCCAATCTTCGCCAGCCTCCTTCTCCTGATCTCCATAAGCGGCTTTTCCCGGCAATCCAAGATCGACGAATGGATAATTCTAGCTCAGATGATGAAAGTTAATAGATTTCATTTCGAGAAGGTATGGAAACTTCTAAACCTGGTTGAAGAAAGAATATCTCTCTCATGTGTTGTTTATACTTAGTGTAGATCATTTATCAATATGTGATAGTCGTAGATATTGCCAATGAACTTTGGGCCTAGTGTTACCTCTTCCCCCTTCCTCTTTAAAACAAGGGTAGGGTGATGTCAGAGGTTCAATCCATGCGGGTGCGTGTGTAATTTACTTAGAACAAAGAAAGTCAAGGATATTTTGATTTAGTATTTAAGAAATTTTTCTCTTGGCATTTACTCAGGTGGCCATCACAGAATCTCAACAACAAAATGCCTGCTCGGTTCTTTTCTAGATGTCATCTGTGGCCAATGATTTCACAGAAGGATTAGTGAAAAAGGAGTTGGAATTTCACTAGATAAAACCTACGGTCACTTTTGAAGGCACCTCTGATGATGTTCCACCTCCATTCATGGCTGGCTGTGTGCATCAATGTCTCCCTGCTAATCGGGCGGACGACATGATTAGTGTTGTACAAAGCCAATACCATACAGAATTGTGCCTGCTCGTCCTATTCAAAAGGCGTACATTTCCTTGAGTGGTGGAGTGCCTTCATTGTTATTTGGTGTCCTGTTGAGAATGAAATTATTAGAAAACAATACTATTGCCTTAAAAAACCACAACATGCGCAGGAGCTATTTAGATATAGTGATTCTTTTTTTCTTTCCACCTATGATTCTTTGTTATATTTTTGTTCATAATTTTGACCTTTTTGGAGTAGAGGTGTAGCAAGGTAGTTTGAGATCTATAGAATTGTTCATCTTATTGCCAGGAATGAAATTTATGATTTGTTATTATAATCCTATTTTAGCTAACATGGTTTAAAACAAAAATGGCCAAAAAAATTTACTTTCTATTATCTATTTTAAATTCAACATTTTTAAATTGGCATTACTTTTTAGCTACTCCAACCACTTTTCAATTCAGACCCAATAAAAAAAAAACCACTTTTCAAGATGCTGAATAGTTTGGTCATTGGGGGGAGTTATAGTTTCTCTCTCAACATCAACTTTAGAGATTGAGCTAAGTTTGGAGCATGAAGCGTAGCATAGTTTAGACCCAGTATAGCTAGTGAATTTCTTTTTTTTTTTCTTATAAAAAAAATCCAGTATAGCCGGGCGGCTATACTATTTTTTTTTAAAAACTATAGTATAGCCGGGGGGCTATACTATTTAAAAACATTATATGTCAATGGTATAGCCGCTCGCCTATACTATTTAATAAAAAATATATATGAAAAAAGGACCCTCCTAATTGCATTAGTTTATACTTTGTAGATATTAATTTGGTATAACTGCTCGGCTATACAAATAAAATATGTACGTGTTTTTTTGGGAAAATTTTTGGCAAATTACAACTTAAAAGTTCTGCCACTATATAATATTTTAATATATATTATTTGTATTCAATAATATGTGATAATTATGTGTATAATAAGTGAATTTAGAAAACAAAAAAAGTATATTAAACACAAAAAATATGTACGTACATGTTCAATACGATTATTGAATGTTCGCTTTTTAAAAATGTATTTATACCATGCGGCTATACCATTGAAATATAATGTATTTATATAGTATAGCCGCACCGCTATACGCGTTTTATCTAATTTTTTTTATAAAGAAATACTATCCGGCTATACTAGTTTTTTTCTACTTTAAAAAAAAAAAAAAGAAATAGCTATACGTAGTTTTGCTAACTTCACATACTATACACATAATTATCACATATTATTGAATACACATAATATATATTATATAGTGGCGGAACTTTAAAGTTGTAATTTGCAAAAAAGTTTCCCAAAAAATATGTACGTATTTCATTCGTATAGCCGTGCGGCTATATAAAATGTATTATATAGTACAGCCGGTCGGCTATACAATGGTTTTTAAAAAAAAAATAGTATAGCCGCCCGGCTATCTTTTTTTTTCCACTTAAAAAAAAATAGTATAGCCGGCCGTCTATACGCGGTTTTTCCAAATTTTATTTTAAAAATAGTATAGCCGGGCGGCAATAAGCTTTTTTTAAATTTTTTTTAACAGAAATAGTTTAGCCGTTTGGCTATACTACGTTTTTATAAAGAAATAGTATAGCCGGACGGGAAGACCTGGTTTTTAAATATTTTTAAAAAGAAATAATATAGCCGCTCGGCTATACTATTTTTTTTTACTAATTTTTTTTTTAACAGAGTATTTGTTTTTTGGGGGTCAATTTTAACAGAGTATATTATTTAGTAGGTAAACAATTGGAAAACCCCAGTGTAACCGTCTGGCTATACTATTTCTTTTTAAAACAATTAAAAAAAATAGTATACCCGATCGGCTATACTATTTCATTTTTAAAAAATTTAAAAAAACCCGTGTGTAGCCGCGCGGCTATACTATTTCTCTAAGTAATTTTTTTAAAAACCGAGTATAGGGGTCGGCGATACTATTTGTTTTTTTTTTTTGTGTGTAAAAAACCGTATGTCAATGGTATAGCCGCTCGGTTAATTTATTGGCTGTAGATGGAGTACTTATTAATAAATTAACAGGCACTATATTCCTATACTCTAAATATTTTGCAACAAAAAAATTTAAAATTAGGGATTTTGGCTTAGGCTCACGTGAGACAGAGAAAAAGGGTATAAGCCCGTTTCACTGAAGTTCGTCTCCGTAACCACCAACCACAGAGCGTTCTTCTGTTTAGTTCAGGGTTCAAATAAGGTTTCTCTAGGGTTTTAGTCTCTGTGTTCCAAGGCCAGCTTTCCGTCTTTGGTTTTGCTCGCGCTGTAATCTCACCATCGAAGGAGGGCTTTGGAATTCTGTTGGGCAGTTAAGGAATAGAATACCAACTCGACATCGTTAAGGTTTGGTCACTTTGATTTTTTGATCATTTATCTTTTGTATTGTTCAATTTTAACGAGCAAGTTGCTGCTCAAAGTTAGGGTTTTGATTCAATTTGTAGACTTGACTTGTAAAGATTGATATTTGGAAATTACCCAAGAATAAATGTTACTGTTCTTCAACATTTTTAATTATAGAATTTCATTCATTCCTTTCCCTCCATCCAAACGCACTGTAATTATAGAATTTTCGTGCAGTCTATCTGGAGATGGTTATAAGTTTTTGTTGTACCTGCAATTCCATAGCTTAATTGATACCGAACGTTTGCACACTGGCAAACTAAAACTGAGTCTTTTTGCTACCTTGGCAGTTGATTTGTGGTTGTTGCTTCATATTATTCAGCATGTCGTCCCTAAGGAATGCTATTAGCAGGCGGGCTCACAAGGAACGAGCTCAACCGTGAGCAACCACATACCCTTTGCTGTTGATAATGTTGTTTTGCATCAGATCATGGGAATTATGTATTTTGTTGTTTAATTTTTTGTTAGGGAATCGAGGAAAAAATTTGGGCTTCTTGAAAAGCACAAAGACTATGTTGAGCGTGCAAAAGCATATCACAAGAAGGAGGAGACTTTACGGGTAAAATTGTGGTGACTTTGTTGCTTGTCTCCTTGGATTTCGTCATTTTGTCTATAATCGTGTAATATAACTTCCAACTATGTCTCATCTGCCTTTTCACTCAACAGAGACTGAAGGAGAAAGCGGCCTTTAGAAACCCAGATGAGTTCTACTTCAAGATGATCAAGACTCGAACTGTTGATGGAGTCCATAAATTAGAGTAATATAGAACTCTTTTATAATGCTTCTTTATCATTTTTCTTTGGCACTTGCTTCTCAAATGACATAGCTTGTTGCTACAGGAGTCAGGCAAACAAGTACACTCCAGAAGAGCTCTTGCTTATGAAGACCCAAGATATTGGATACATACTTCAGAAAGTTCAGAGTGAGAAAAAGGTTATTAATACTGTTACCAAGAAGCTATGGTTTATCAAGTGGTTTTTTTAGTTTACCCTGTTGGTTATAATTATGCTGTTATCCAATGCAGAAAATTGAAAAGTTGACTGCGACACTCCACTCTCTTGATAATCGGCCTTCAAGTAGACACGTTTACTTTGCTGAAGACAGGTTTGAGCTTCATCCGCCTTTTCTGTCTTTGGAAAATCTAAATTATATCTGAATAAGTGGATTGCTTTTTAATGTTTTAGTTTTTCTTATTGTTGTTGTTAGTTGTGACCAGACTTAGATACCATTTTCTGTTTCTTATTATTTTTAGGGAGACTTTCAATTACACCCCCTGAGGTTTGGCCTAATTACAGTCAGACACTACATGTTTCATTTACACCCGTTTTGCCAAATATATTGTATTTGAATTTTTTTTTTTTTCAAATATATCTTATCTTGTTATTTCCTTTTGTTTGTAGGGAGGAGGCTAAAGAAATTCATTCACGTTCAAAAAGTGGAACTATGCCTGCTTCTGAGGACATTCCTGATCATATAAAAAGGTACAAACAAAGTTTTCAGTGTTAGGGGACAGATTGATGAGTTATGTTTATTATTGAAGGTGGTCTGTTGATTTTTATCAGTTTAAGAATCTATTATGAATGTCTGTGCATTACAGTATCGTATAAACAAATGCCTTTTGATTTGGTTGATAGAATATTGGCATATTTTTCAATCAAGGGGTAACTGTGCACTGATTGGTTTGTACTTTTTTTTTTTTTTGAGACGCCATAACATTACTTTGTGAGACAAATCCATTAATCCCTCAGAATATGAATAGGACTTAGAAACTTCATCATAATGGAAAGGTTTAAAGCAAAACTATTCTCTTAATATCTAGTTCAATGGATGCAATTTGGCTTTTTATAGTTATTGTTATTTGTCAGTATGTTAATTGACCTGAGAGGATAAGCGAATCTTATTGGTCACAACTAGATTGCTGAAGTTTTCTGTATTTTTAACAAATGGGATGAACTGCCCTTTGCTGTTATGTCAACCACAATCCAATTCTTTTGCATCTCCGGCCGCATTACGTGGAAAAGACCTGATTATAGGCTGGATTTTTCAAGTTTGATTTTAAAATTTTAAACAAGTTGGTTTGAGGCCCTACTATCAGGTGCTAGTTGGAGTTGAGAAATTTGGTAGTGTAATAATCTCTCTTAAATTTTTTTGTTATCATGATATCTTAAGTTTTCTTTTCTTCTATGCCATTTTATCTCCTGAATTCTAGGTAGCTGACTCATGCTTTAAGAAATTCTTGTTATCCTTCAATTTCTTAAATATCATGATAATCTACCTTTCAATGGTGGATGTGATGCACACTTCTTCCTTCCTGTTTCCATTTTCTTCCTGAATCCTAGGTAGCTCACTCATGCTTGTAAGAAATTCTTATTATCCTTAAATTTCTACTATATCATGGTATGCTACCTTTCAATTGGTGGAGTGATGCACGCTTCTTCCTTCCTGTTTCCGTTGTCGTGCTGAATTCTTGTAGAATGATATTAGTCTTTTGGTTAAGTCTTATATTCTCGTCTTCAATGTGCAGGAAAACAGCTGCTTCCTACAGAGAGCTAGAAGCAAGGAGGAATAGAGTCAATGAGTTGGAGAGAATCTATACGGATATGGCAATGCAGAAGGAATTACAGGTATTGACATCCAAATTTCTTTTTCGTACATCTTGTTCTTTTGTTGTGCATGGAAATATTGAAAAAAAAATTTCATCTAAATTAACAGAAAAAGGGTAGAAAACGCAAACTGCGGGAAGATGAGATTGTCTGCCCAACATCCAAACCTGTATTCAAGTGGCGGGCTGAGCGTAAGCGTTGAATAGGTAGGTGTTGATCAATGATTAGCTTCGTTTTATGTCTAGGTCTTTTTGCTTATTTCTCAGCTTAAAAGTGTGTACTTCTTGGTGCTATGAAACTTGCACACTCCAGTCTGCATGTTTCTGTGATTTTGCAGGAATGACGCTGCGCAACTGATGTCCGGCCCCCCAGAGAAGTATGGATCCGATGTAATGCGACTTTTCATGTAACTGGAATTTTGAGCTACATATGAATTTGTACGAGTGATATGGTCATAGATTAATATATAATTGCATTTTTGTGACTCTGCCAGTCCGAACAGTGGTGTCGTTATAACAATACTAACAAGCAGTCTGCCGTCATTTTTGAGATTTTGCTGATTGACATAATCAGCCATGGTAACTTGTATTTCAATTCAGAATAATCCGTTTCAATATCATTTATTAATTTTTCAAATTGTGAATCCAATTGGAGTAGGATATTAAACTGTTCATCAGACACGCAGGGCAACTCTCTCTACTCTACCAGGCTTTGCATAAGTGGTGTTTCAGTACAATTTGGTAGCCATAATTCTGGCTTTCCATAGTTTTTATTTTTATTTTTGTCAAGGATACGGTAGAGTAACTGCAAGACTTAGGACCAAACAATATATTGGGCTCTATATCATAGTCCCTTTAGTTGCCATATTCTCCCACAATTCAGTGTGGTTTTTATTTCTTAGTTTAAGGGATTGCGGGAGGGGAGTTTACACAAAAATTCATTGGGTGCATGAGAATTTCAAACCTCTGCCCACATAGGTGGAGGTGAAAGAGGCTCAACTAGTGTTAGACAACATGAGTTTGTAGTGAAGTTTATTGCACTCGTACCCCAATTCTTGTCATATACGATAAGTACATCGACTAAAATGAGAGTTCTGTCAGATTTTAGACACAAACTCATGTAATAGATGGTGCAATTATATTTCGTTTCCCAAAATAAATGAAGTTAAAGGTAACATGTGTGGATAAGGAATAACATAACTAAATTACCTACCAACATAACCAACTTCGGCCGAGGTCGCTTTCATAGCAAAATAAACATCTGAACTCATAGTTTTCTTACCCAAACAAAGGTTAACCGTAGAGTGAAAACATTTTTTAAGAATATATTGGGGGAAAAGGATCTGCCTCTTGCTCTTTGAACCTCTCACAACTTGCATAATGTCAGTTTTGTTTCCTTCAATAGTTTGAAAGCAACATATTCCCCATTTCTCCAAGTGTTGAACACAATGAAAGAGTGAAAGATCAGAAAACAGTACATAGCAGAAGAATCATATGATGCTCAAATATTGAAGCACTGTCATTAAGTATTTAAACCCACAAAGAACACGTTCAAAAAATAAAGGGCCAAAAATATAAAAAAGGAAGCAAAAGAAGTTCCCACAATCTCTTCTATTAAGAAGCTAGTAGAAGATGATTATATTCACAAACACTACTACCTACAACCCTAACTCTACCCCAACTACAATTCCAGAAACAGAGACTCAATAACCTACTTGAACCTACTAGAGGAAACTAAATCTGAATCAAGCACATTGACCCCCCATTGGCATTTCTCTTCAAATTTAAGAGTCATCATCACCGCCTACGTTCTTGGATGAGGTCCCAGCCTTCTTTGGGAGCAGAAGGTTGTGAATGTTGGGCATGACACCACCATTAGCAATTGTAACATCACCAAGAAGCTTGCTCAGCTCCTCATCATTACGCACAGCAAGCTGAATGTGGCGTGGCACAATTCGAGTCTTCTTGTTGTCTCTTGCTGCATTACCAGCCAATTCCAGAACCTGTAAAATCAAACAGAATTAAACAACATTAGAATAAAAGCCTCAACTTGTGGACAGAAATCAATTAACACACACAACTATACCTTTACCAAGAAAATATCCTAATTTGGAAGGACACACCAATTCAATAGCGTTGACATCTAAAATGGAAGTGAAAACGCATCCAAGAACCAACGCTAATTTTTTCGTTCCTATGACTTACCCAAAACACCAATTCCACAAACATGCCTCATACCTTAAAATGAAGATTCGAACAAGAATAAAACAGTTCAAATGCAAAGGGCCAATATTAATTCAACCCTATTCGACAGTCAAAAGATTTTCAGTGCTATTAGCCTAAAAGATTTTTTTTTTAAAAAAATTTATATTTTTTTTTTTAAAAAAAGGAAAAAACTGAAGCAATTTAAAAAATCCAAGATTTCTCAATATTACAGACAGAAACATTCATATCATAACTTGAAAATTACCAGACAATGAAATCGAATTCAATTCAAAGCCCTGTACTTTAAAGAAAGAAATAATCAAATTGGTTAACCAAAAAATAATAAATAAATAAATAAAAATTATTTAGGAAACAAACTAGATCCAAGATCTTAACATTGGCTTGATACGACCAGTTGAAGCAAAATTACCTCCTTTTCACAGTTTTCTTAATGTTCAATTAACCAATTTCCACTCATACAAACTTACGAAACAATCTTATTCCCAATTCGAAACCCTAACCCTAGATTTACAAAATGGGAAGAGAAAGATATTCATGCACGTACAAATATAGAGGGAGAAAGAGGTTGAGAAAGAGGAGTATACCTCAGCGGCAAGGTATTCAAGGACCGCGGCGAGGTAGACCGGAGCTCCAGCACCGACTCGCTCGGCGTACTTTCCTGCCTTCAAGAACCGGGCGATACGACCGACCGGGAATTGCAGACCTGCCTTGCTCGACCGTGAAGTGGCCTTTTTCGCGGCCCCGGAACCTATAGCCTTCCCTCGACCCGCCATTGATGGATTTCCAGGAACAGATTAGAGAGAGAGAGAGAGAGAGAATGAAAAAGAGGAAAAGAATTAGAAGCAACGGAGAGAAACAAAGTGTTAGGTGCTACGGAGCAGAACTGAGACGCGTTTTGGGTATTTATAGTCGCTGGGATTTGAATATGAGCCAATGGGCTGAAGTACGCGGATCGAGATCAACAGCCGTTGATTAAAATGAGAAGGGACGGTAGAGATTGGTTGATTGAAGTTTGTAACTTTTTGTTCGGTTAGATTTGGTGAAGTGACGAAACTAACCTTGTCTTTTCTGTTCATTCATGTTGACTTGTTTTTGGGCAATTAATTATTTTGACTTAGGTTTGTATGCTTTGCCATTGCCCCCCCTACTGCTTGCATAAATGCACTTCTCCTTTGAAAATGTTACAAATTATAATGGAGAGAGTGCCACTCATTTGTCATAGTAAAGGATAAGGGTAAGTAAGGACAGTTATTGTTTACGCAAATAGTATCTTTACTTTTTTTTAAAAAAATTTAATTTTTGCTTTTCCACTGATTACCATGACAACTCAAACAAATCGGGTTTGCTCACCATTCATGCTCCAAGAGTCTGTCTAGTGGGAGCCAAATGGCCCAGGCCACGGCTGTTTTGAGGCTCAAATTAGAAAATGGGTTTCTAATGAGAGTAGATAGCCCATGCTCCATGAAGGGCAATTCCACCCCAAACCCACACCCGGCCCAGTGATGGAGCCCACGCACAAGTGGAAACATGAAAAAATAAAAATAAAACTGCTTCTGACAGCACCCAATTTCGCTGTTTCTATTATTCACACAATTTTAGTTTTCACAAGCTCATCATTTTTAATATTGTGAAATGCATATGGCATGTCAATTTGATAGTCACATTCGTCTAAACTACAAAGGTGATGGGGGTTATAACTTGAGTTGAGATTATTTGTCTGCAAATCAAAGCCCTTTTTCATTAAATTAGACTCCGTTGGCCAACATACGAGTACTTTTAAAAAAAAATTCATTTGTTGTGACGGAGAAATTTAAAATTGATTTATTTGTTGTAATGGCTTCCCCCCATAGTGGTTCTACTGATATGATGACAAGAAATGTTGGAGGACACCAAAAATTATGTTGAACATAATGGAGTTACATAACTAGTACTAGGTGGACTAGAGGAGGGAAAGCAAAGAAATGCAAGACCAACCTTGTAGCCCTTATCATCTAACCAATTTGCATTGAATATGAACTTCTATGTCTCACTGATATGGTTTCTAAATGTGAACATATCTCAAACTTTTGTTGCTCGATTTTACTACTAAAAGTCCACAAAAAGAAAAGATGAAGAACTGTTCCCAGGCTAGGAGTAGGAGATACCGTTTCCTAGGTAGTCTGCTCTGTTTAGAAAAAAGATTTGTTTTTTGGGCCAACATATAGATGGTTTTGGAGTTTATGTTCATCATCATTGTGCCGCTAGCACCTATCTGGGTGATCAGTGGTGGATCCACCTAAGGCCCAGTGAAGGCTACTGCCCTACTCACCTTTCTTCTATCCATGAAGTCCTTAGAATCTCCATTGAAGCTCCACTTAAGTATGCTGCAATGGGGCAAGGTGTTTGATAAAAGTCTTATGAGAGAACATGGAGGGGCAAAGCTGACATAACAAAACGAGGTCGCTTTGGTTGTCACTTAAACACCCAACATTCTCATCTCCAAGTCGTTTTAGTCTCTTCTCCTTGTCACTTCACCATTTTGTGGCTGGAAAATGTTACTAAAACAACCAAAAATTCCTAAAATTTCGTTGGCTCTTCTTCTTGTTACTTGTATATAATTCATCCAAGTTTGAAGTGGATTGAGCTTTGGACTTTTTAGTTCTATTGTGGAATATTCAGTATTCATGTTAGAAAATATTGTTGTCTGCTTTAGGCATGAACTTTATAAAATTTTCAAGTTTGTTGGTGATTTAAACTACTACATTTTGCCCCCAACAACAAAAATTTCTGGATCCGTCACTGAAGGTGACCCAAGGGTGGTTGAGCTACAAAATGTCTCAATTCTAAAGAGAGCCTGTAGACCATAAGAGCACTTCCACCCTTCTCCTTTTGCCATGGCAAAAAGAGGCCTAAGCTCCAAAAACAACCCCCACAAAGGAAAAGTTTTCATGGCAAAAAGTGGACCCACCAAACTAGGCAAGCCCGAAGTCAAGACTTGCCTAGGCAAGCTGATGTCAGCAGCCAATTTAAATAACAAAAAAATTATAATAAAAAAATCACAAAATTCGGAATTTTTTTTTCTATAAATACCTAGCCATGTTCTTCACTTCCTACACCAAAATCCATACAAATTCCTATCATCATATCTCATGTAAATAGTGGTTGCCATAGCAATGGGAAAAATTTACTAGGGCAGTCACTATTCACATAAATAGAGAACGAAAGAAAGAAAAAAATATTAAAACCCTAGGAATTAAGAAGAAAGGAAAGAAAGAATGAAACTGATAAGAAGTCAACCTAATATGTCTCTTACTTGAGTCTTGTGGCTTCTTGAGAGTGTTTCAATTGATCCAACAACAAAAATTGAAGAATAAAAGGAAGAGAAGGAGAAGAGTGACCTATGGCTTGGAGAGAGCGTGAAGACTGAAGGGAGGAGAAAGACTATGGAGAAGAAATAGTGTGAAAATATTTCAGGTTATTTTCGGAATTTTGAAAATCTCATTAAACTTCAGCGCCTCCTAGACTTGATTTCCGTATAGTCCAAAATTGCTTTCCCTCACATCAATTACTTACAATAAGTGATTTTAACATGTTTTATCAAACCGGCTAGCCTTTTAAGAATTTCAAAATAATCACTTGTGAACCTAAATAAACAATGCTAGACGGGCACTAAAAATAATTTCCCTAGTGTCAAACAGTGAAGTTCCGATAAAAATGATTTATCTAAAAATCACCTGTAGTCTATATTACTAGGCACATCACATGTACGGACACATCATTTGATGAACATTAATATGAAGACTTTACCTTTTTCTAGATCATTTTAATATGAGGATTTAGGTGTTGAACATTAAACTAACGGGAGTTTCACTAAAACACCCAAAAATGGGGGTTGAAATTATAAAAAAACCCAAGCACTATTTAAACATATAAACACAACCAAAACCCATCATTACACACACTCAAAACTCATTTATAAACACACCCAAAAAGTTGACTTTGAGGTTGATTTTGGGTGTGTTTCTATGTTTAAATAGTGCTTGGGTTTTTTTATAAATACATGTCTAGAATTGGGTTTATTTATAAATTTGTATAAACTTAATGTGTGACCCTTAATCTGAAAATTGTTGGAAAAAATGGGTATAATTGCTATATTTTACACATAAATTCAAAAATAATCATTCAATCCATGCTTAAAAAATTAATGCATGCTTACAAGCATACACAATGCAAAATTACATAATATGGATTAGAAAATAATTGAGGTGTTGGACACTCTGATCTTAAGATGAATTACGCCCCACACTAGTGCTTATGGTTCACTAGCGTTTGCCACCCAGGATACAACGGCTCCCATCCTTATAAAAGAAGCACTGCAATTCACAATGAACTTTGAATCAAATTATGCAAGAACCTCTCTTTATGAAAAGGGTTATGCTAGGGAGACCAACTTTAAATACCAACATGTGTACCATCTCTCTAATAGAGGTAGAGCCTACCAATACAATGGGTCACACGCTCTATTAGAGAGATGATACACAAGTTGGTATCTAAAGTTGGTCTCCCTAGCATTTTCCTTATGAAAACTCTAATGCTCTCTATTTATGAAAGTCTGTATGTAGAAAATTAATTGAATAATAAAATTGTAAGAGGATTGCTCTATTTATAGATGATGAAATACCATTTCCAAAAAGGTATCTCAATCTGAAAAGTCAAACAATGCATCCCTTGGTCTGAAAAATTGTTACCCCAAACAATGCATCCTTTAGTTTGAAGAGTTGTCACCTCCTAATTGAAGATGTCTTTAAACCAAGGATCATGTCTTTAACCCAATAGATTTTATTAATTTTCATTATTAATATTAGTTAATATTAAAGTTCCAACAAAAACCAGGTCATAATCAACAAAACATTAGTGGATAATCATACCGTGTGAGAATGATTAACAAACTTTATTTTCAGCGCTCCTCTAACTTTACCCAATTTTCTTCCTTTTCACTTGGTGAATGCATCCATAGGAAACTACGAAAATATGTCGTGTACTGTGACTCAATGGTTTTGAATAAGACGAGTCCTCTCCCTCATTACCCATTATGCATATAAGTCATAAGCTCTACTTTTACAGTGGCGATTGGACAAGGTGGGGACAAAATTTGGCATTGTGCTTCGGATTTAATCCCTTCAATTACACCACTACCACAAAAAGAAAAGACAAATCTTCGCAGAAACTGAAACAGGTTAAAAATTCAAATAAGATATGAGACAGATTCATGAGAATCCTTAATTAATGCCAATTCAGATTTCAGGGTTTAGTGTCTCTTTCTTTCACGTGTACCTTCCTCAGTAACGATGCCCATTTATTGGTGTTATTACAGAGCAAGGTTTTGGTGAATAGCTCAAAGATTCTCCTTTCTTTTTTTTTGAATTTTCATGTCTTCTTGTTTTATAAATCAAAATGTCTTCTTTTGTTTATGGCTTTGAGACCACTTCTCTCTCTTCCTTTTTCCTGGATACCCATTTTGGAGATACTTCCAAAATGTGCTTCATTTGAATGACAAATTCTACAAAAGACATTATGGTACTTTGAATTTGAATTTATTATTTTTTTAAAATTGTATTCCTGGGTTTTTCATAAAAGTTTTTGACATGGGTTCTCTTTGATATGCAGCTTTTTGAATATACTTGGATGAATTCTTGGTTGCTAGAAGTGGAAAGAAGTTTAAGTTGTGTGCCAAAATAGAAAGTTAATTGAAGAGAAAGTGATGGCAGCTAGCTTACTTTTTCCAGCTTTAATGGTGGTAGGAAGGATGTGAAATGACAATGGAAAGTGATGACTTGCTTTTCAACCCAATGGAGAACACTTGAAGAATTCAAAGATTGTACTTTGTAAGGA